CAGCCTGAAGATGTTCCATGATCTGTCTAGGTGCAGACAGGGGTTGGAAATGGGGACCTTAAAATAATGTTTTATTCAATTTCTTTCAAAATCAACAAAGAATTTGTGAATTAAGTTTTGCTAAGGTAGCCAGTGTCATAGAATTACATAGTCTTGAATCTTGAGAGTTTCAGCTAGTTATACATGGCAGAACTTTAATATCCACAGGTAAGTTATGGGCTGGTATGTGATTATTTGAGAATAATAAGTAATACATCCAGGAATTCAATAAAATAAAATTTAGCAACGCCTAGAATTGGCAAGGTTTACAGGAAGATAAAAATAAATTAAAAACGTGTTTGCTCTTTACATCAGCTGAGTATGTTTCTTCCTTCTAGGAGAACCTCCCTCCCCTACCCCTACTTTAGATATAAGTTTATGGACATCACCCCCTCTACGTTTTGTCACATAAGAGAATGACATGACTAAAAGGATCCCCACCCAAGAGCAACTGTGCCAACCGACACCTAGCTCTTTCTATACAAGCCAATGAGTCTATGATTTTCTTGGTTGTTTGGTGATGGGTGCTTTGTGAGAGGCCTCCAAAAGTGTTTGTGTTTCAACTTGTGTCTTATTTTTTATACTTAGGGCGCCAGCCTTTTGAACATTATTAGTTCAGTTGAGCTGCCACTCCTCCTACTGCTACTCTTTTTTTTTCTACTGCACGTGTTGACGGGGTCTTTCGCAAGAAGCTCCAAATATTGATGATTTAATATAGTTTTGTTAGGTAGTGGCATCTAGGAAAAGATTCTACTCTCTATTATCTATCTATCTATCTATCTATCTATCTATCTATCTATCTATCCATCCCCATATATGGCCACATAGCAGCTCTATTGCTAAACACTGTGAAAGACACTGGCCACACATGGTTACTTGGGTCTTCAAGGTTTCCTTTTAGGTGTAAATGATCCACTGATCCCTATTCCTAGGTCACAGCAGGTAAGGAGTGGAATCATTTGAACATACATGATTGCAGTGCAAGCATGTGCCCACTCTAGGCACAGAAACTGGATTCTCAGTCGGTGGTGGTGGTGCACCCCTTTAATTCCAGCACTCAGGAGGCAGAGGCAGGCAGATCTCTGTAAGTTCAAGGCCAGCCTGGTCTACAGAGCTAGTTCCAGGACAAGTTCCAAAGCTACAGAGAAACGCTGCCTTGAAAAACCAAAAAAGAAAAAAAGAAGGAAAGAAAGAAAGAAAGAAAGAAAGGAAGAAAGAAAGAAGAGAAAAGAAAACAAAATTCGATTATCAAATGGAGAAATAGTGTCTGATGACAGTAGAGAGTCCCATTAACTCTCTCAGGACCCCTTATCCCTCTGGGAGACATGAAAAATCCTTCCTACTTTCTTCCAAGCTATGACCTAATCTCCCTTATTACATTACAAAAGGTTCTCAAATTGCAACATGGGCTTTTTACATCAACTTCCTACATTTTTACAAATAATCATTGAATAAATTAATGTATGAATAAGGAATGAGTAGATACTTAAATAATTTTTTAAATAAAAGGGTTATTTCCTACTGGTCTTGATTGTCTGGAAAGGGCCGTAAACTTGTGGTTGTTTGTTTTACTCTCCTAAGACCAAACTCCTGAAATGATAATAAGAGGAGTGTGGGTTTGCCCACTCACTAGACACTCTGCAGCCTTCGGTGCTGCCCACAAGGAGACAACGCCGCCTTAGCTACCTTATTCGTGATGTAGCCATAGAGACAGCACGGTAAGTTTCCTAACCTTTAAAATATTCCCCACGATGAGGTACTAGTCAACAGAAGGTGCACAGAGGAACTCGCAGTCACAAATCTGTTTTCTTTGTCTATAGTTAGTGTTTTCTTAAGCTATTAAGAGACTGATTGCTGGGGGCTGGAGAGATGGCTCAGCGGTTAAGAGCACTGCCTGCTCTTCCAAAAGACCCGAGTTTGATTCCCAGCAACCACATGGTGGCTCACAACCATCTGTAATGAGGTCTGGTATCCTCTTCTATCCTGCAGACATACACGCAGACAGAATATTGTATCCATAATAAATAAATAAATATTTTTAAAAAAAAGAGACTGATTGCTGGAATATTAACCCAAACCCTGGACCTATATCAAATTCTCCGACTTTCCACTGCCTGAAGTCCTGTGTCATAGTATATAAAAAAACAGGCTACAGCTAGGTCACGCCACAGCTTTTGGGGCCTCTAGTCTTAGTTGGATCAACCTCTTTCATTCTTATGGTTTGAATCTGAGGTATAACCCTCAGTCTCGTGATCTGAACACCATCAGGGTTGCTCGAGCTACCTCTCAACCTACTTTGGAGATGCAGCCACCTCCTCTACCATTTTCTCCAGCTCAGGCTCCCCTCTGTCAGTCTCTCCTTACTCTACCAGCTTTGCCATTAACCACTTCTCCAGATCAATCACCGTCAGATAAAATGGGCAGGCATCAGAGTAGATGCAGCAACCCAGAATCAGACAAATATCCCTTCCATCCACACACTCTGAGGATGCTGAGCAGCCTGTCCGAGTAATGGCTGTCTGTGCTGGAAGACGGCTATAACAGCACCCTTTTCATGGGTGAGAGTTCTATGACATATCACACACACACACACACACACACACACACACACACACACACACACACACACCTGCCTCCTTTCTGTGTTAAAATAGAAAGAGTATGGTATGCCAGTGTTTTGTTTGGATTTTCTCATGTCCATTGGGGGCTTTCTTTTTGCATTCTTATTGGTAGAGTTCTTTGTTTCATAATTTCCTGAAAGTCAATGCTGAAGCGTTCTCAAGACTAACTGGTCAGGCATGACATGCTCACCTGCCATCTCAGCACTCTTTAGAAGACAGAAGCAAGGAGACTGTCTCCAGAGCAGGATCAGCCTGGTCCACACAATGAACTGCAGGCCAGCAAGGGCTACTTGGTGAGCCCTTGTCTCAAAAATCAAAAGGTCCTTGTTCATTTCTAGTCATGTCATTCTGCATGGCATACTTGCATAAAAATAAATACCATCCCTTGCACTGATTTTTAATATTCAATTGACTAATACAGTTAAATATAAAGTATTCTTAATTACTTGAATTGCATTAAAATAGCTATCTGAATTACATTACAAAGAAAATTTAATCAGTATTTATATCATAATGATGATTTTAACATGGATAAGTTTTCAAATGGTGAAATTCTTTTAAGCAGACTTAAAAGTCAATAATATTTCTAAATACTTAAACAACTTTAATAAATCTAATTAATCAAAAATTGAATTTTTTAAGTCAGTTCTCATATCCTTTTTAAGCACTGTGAAATGAAAAACACAGTACTCAGGACAGCAGACCATAGACCAAGGATCATGACTGATCAATACTATATAAAAATTTTATGTATATATATTACACACACACACACACACACACACACACACACATATTTCTCTGACTGGTAAGGTGCCGGCCCTCATCTTCTCACCTGGGTCATATCATCCCTAATTCCCCAGCAGATCCCCAGCACCTGCCTTCCTTCCTCTTAGCCTCAGGTCAGAAACTCCTCATTTCCTGTAAACACAGAGTACTGGGCCTTTCCAGGACCAAAACTTCCCAGGGCAATGAGACTAAGCCGTTCTGGAGCCTTCAGGGCCAGCCTGCAGATAAAATCTACAGAACAGAATCAAGACAGTGAGCGAAGGGGCCAGAAGTCAGGTTCCACGAGTTCTAAGCCTTTGATGCTGCCTGTCCTCTGCAGAACGCTCTTAGGATTTTCTTCTGTTTATGATTGAGGCCCTCTTCTCACTGACCAAACCTCCCACCACAGTCAGGCCCTGTTCTGTGGTTCCACCAGCCTCAGATAGTCCCCTGAAAGGACACAGTTCTAAGAAGAGTATCCTAGAAGTGGGCACAAAAGTGTGCTTTCTTTTTTAACTCCTTAACCCTGTAAGCACTTCTTCAGATCTGTGATGTTTTGTGTCTTTCCTGGATGTGAATGATAATTATGATAATCCCAGTGAAGTCAGGAATTGTGTGCATATTTCCAGGCTTTCATGTCTCCAGTCTAGCACAATGCCTGGCACATGAAATATGATTAATAAATTATTTTCGAATGCGTATATAGCCTAAAGGTGAGTGAGCACCCACTACATGCTTAGGCATTGAGCTTAAGTGCTACTAAGGGATTAGAAACCTGTTTGGATGCAGACGGATGTTCACCTTGAGGCACACAGGCACGAAAAACAAGATGATGTTTTCATGTGTGTACAGTGTAGATTTGAGGGAAGTTGATGGCTGAGACAGGGAGGGACAGTACTGAGGAAATATGTAAGCTAAAGGGATAGACTTGATCCCTTCACCTGTAAAATGAGGCATTCAAACTAGATTATTTGCTGGAAGTGTAGGATTCATCGAGTTATTAAAAACCAGCCCTATAATAGGAGATTCACCCCTAGCTTTTCCACCAGGTATGACAAACACGCATGAAGTCTAGGCGGGAAAAACACACGTCTTGTGTCTTCCTGTGTCTGGAGTGCGTTAGGTGGGAGAGTGGAACTGTTTTTTCTGAATAAGCTCACCAGTAGAGACAGCGAGAGTTTACCCTTAACGGCCCAGCATCTCAAGCTTTGTGTTGCTCAGTTCCTCAGCACCCAAGATGCTGAGTAATTGTTCTGAAAATCAACATGCAAAATTCCTTGATTAAATAAATGATACATCGATTTTTATTAGATAAAAACAAATAATCTACATAAATATAGTTGCTTATTTGTTGCCCAAGAGTGACCCCATCCTCTCCAGGTAACAACATACAAGCTAAGGAGTGCTTCTGGATGCCCTGTGACCACGTGAGTGTGGCTGGGGAGATCCACAATTTCCATCTGGTTCTGTCATATCACATACTGGGAGAAACAAACTTCTTCAGTTCACAAAGACTCGGATGAAAAACTGTCAACTTCAGATAAATTATGCCAGGCTTTCCTCAAATCTCCTCTAACAATTGAACCAGCTGTTACTCTTCAACACATGGGTCACTTTCTTTGCATTTGGGTCAAACTCCAACTGTGAAGATCCACTGAAGAAATAGAAAAATCCTGCATGTAAAGACAAGAGAAAATGTGAACTACTTTCTTCTAAGTAGAAACTTGGAAAGATAAAAAGCTCAGTAAGAGGTAAGTGAAAACAGAAAGAATCAGGGATGTGACTCAGTGGTAGGACACTTGCCTAGAGTATCCAAAGTTGTGTTCCAAATCCTTGCCTAGAGTGTCCAAAATTGTGTTCCAAATCCTTGCCTAAGAGTGTCTAAAGTTGTGTGTCCAAATCCTT